TCCTTCTAGTAGGAATTTACCATTTCTTTATTCTCATGGTATTTGTTCGTGTTTTCACTATAAAATCTGTTTCCATTTAGCTTAGCTTTATTGCTTTGCCCTTCCTTATTAGATGCCTGGTTTGTGTTTGAATGAATAAACCAGAACAGAACATTAATTAAAACTCTTTCACAGTTTATTAGTGGGGGAGTGGGAGACAAGCTTAATTTATAATAGAAATGTTGGAACTAAAATTAATCAGCAGCATATGTGAGTCATGGCAATACCAATTAAGGTCGTATGTGACCCCTTAAGTGTAAGATTGGATGTTGCAGCCAAATATTGAAGGATTTGACAAGTGATGGAAGAAACCTCTTGATAGAGAATAACATAATTACTAAAGTTAAGAAGATTTATTTTTTAATGAGCCCTAGTTGTATTTGTTTTTAAATTTGAGAATATTACATTAAAATGGAAATAACTTGAAGCTTAAGTTGTATTTTTAAATGTTTGCTTACACATAATTAGTTTTGACTCAAAATATTTTTAATAGTGGGTACCTATTTAACTTTTGAGTGAAATTAATGTACTCATTAAAAAATCATTATTGTAGTAGTTAATACCCTAACAGTGTAATAATGATTTGAGGACATGCCTTTTTCGAGATGTGTGTTTTAAATCACTTTAGGGTTGACAGAGCCTTTTCAGATATTAAGTAGAAACATAAATATATTGATCAAAGATTATTAGGTTCGCATCAGAACAGACAGTGAACATATTAGAGCTAGTAGTGTATGATCATCTTTTACTTTTGGTTTCACTTCTAGTTGTAGGAATAAATTTGCATTTATAGTCCATGTACCTGCAGTCCTTTTGGCCATACGTCATCATTCATTTATCAAGTGCTTATTGAACTCTTGCTGTTGTAGGGTTTGTACCAGTGTTAGACTCATGAGAACTGACTAGTTTGAAGTTTGGGTTGGAGTGTTTCCAGGCCTGTATCTAATATTTACAGGACCTGGGGCAAAAAGTACATGGAGGCCCTTAGACCCTATGTCTAAACATTTAAATGTTATAAACCAAACTAATACGTTTCTAAATAAAATAGGTCCTTTCCACCTGCCTTGGGAATTAGCTCAGTGACCTGATAGCCAAGTGTGGGTTTAGATTGCTGGGGCTCCATTTCCTCATTGGAATGTGGTGGTGTGGGGGGAGTCAGCCAGTGGGGCAGCCCACACCCTCTCCTCCTAGATCTGGTCCTCTCGTAAACCAGAGGGTCCTTCTTGCAGACATACCAGCACTCTTCACACCCCTACAAATGGCAGCCCATGGCCACTACTCAGGCTTTGGAGCTTACTACCTTCAAGGTTGACTGCCCTGATGGGAGGCTCTAGAAGCTGGCTTGGGGCTGTTTGGATACAGATTTATGGACCCTGGTACTCATAAGAGCAGGGCAGGGCAGGGCAGGGCAGGGCAGGGCAGGGCAGGGCAGGGCAGGGCATGCTCTAGATAGGCACGTTCTTTGCTCTGTGGATTTATCATGTGGAAAAAGATGTTTTCAGAGGACTAATCAGGAGATCCCCTGAGAGTCCAGAACTCAGGGTGGGGTGCTCTTGTCTACGTCCTAAGGGTGATATTGTGTATGCTCATGAACCAAATAAAACTAAGTGTTCCTTAAGAGGATTGGATCTCCACGAAGTTTCTAGACTTTGAAGCTAGACCATGAGTCCAAAATTATTTAAAAATTGTGTTTTTTCAGTGAACAATTAATAGCTGTTTGTTTATGCACATTAACAATAAGCAATATAATTTTCAAGTTTATTAGTTTTATATTTTAGAATTATAGTTTTGTGATAAAATAATATTAAATTTGGAATTATGTCTGCTTTATAGAGCTTCTAATTATATGCTCTTTGTTTTAAGTATTTCCCCATTTATTTAAAAATAACAATTAGCTGTTTTATGGGTGCTAATGTTGTTAGAGTGCAAAAGACTAAATGGAAAGGTACCATTAATGCTGTTTCAGCCCTGGTTCAATTTCTACGAGCAGTCAAGGGAAAGAAAACGGCTGTGAATTGACCACTTAAGTAAATCAGTTTGTAACTTCTGTGTCCTAAGATGATTAAATCTAGAGGTAAGAATATAATGTTATGTCACAAAAATGTATCCCATAGAACTTTTTATAAAATACTATCTTTCTGATTGGGCTCATGATAATATACAATTGTAGTTTTACCATAATTTAGCAAAAGAAAGTGACAATTCCGTGTAAAAGGGAATACTTGATTACTCTATTGTATAAGAGCAATAAAAACTAATTCACTGTTATATTACTCAATATTGAAAGCTGTAAGAGGCTATCTTTCAGTTCATTCTTCATTAATTGTGCTATATTGTTGTGGTATTAGTCTCTATTATAGATGAGTTTTATGAAAGGCTTTTAAGTTGACACCTCTGAGCTTGTATTTTGGCTCACTTAAATATCCTTGGCATATTTTCTGCATGATTCTTGAAGGGCAAATGAAGTATTGAAGGCAAAGTGGATTAATCAGTCACTGTGATTCTTTTATGAAAACTCTTGTGATAAACTATTCTTTGAAATGGTGTTAGTTTGTAACAAAGTATAACTGATGAAAATAAGTAATTGCACTTTAAAAAGACCTTTTACTTATTAATCTTTATAGAGGCTATTCTAAATTTGCCTTTTATGCTAGAATTTTCTTACTAAATTCATTTTAGAGGCATTCCTCCAGGGACTATGTTCATAGTCCTTTTCTTTAATTGGATTGGTAACCAGATAAATAAGGGTTAATTTTGACCTTTGTTAACATTTAGGTGAAAGGTATGTGTGATATTTAAAAAATTAATTCTGATAATAACATGGTACAGAACTAGATGTGACCTACATACATTTGCTTTTGGCTCAGTCTTGCAATATGGAGGAAGATGTATATTAAATATTACCATTTGGTAAAATAAATTCTCCCCACATTGTGATTTTTATTTTTGGGACAGTAATAACGCTAATTTTTTCTAGTGCTGTATTAGTTTGCTGGAGCAGCCATTCGCAAAGTACTACACCGACTAGAAGGCTTAGCTAACTGAAACTTATTTCCTAACATTTCTGGAGGCTAGAAGTCCAAAATCAAGGTGTCGGCAGTGTTAGTTTCTTCTGAGAGCCTCTTGTCTTGGCTTGTAGATGGCCTTCTTCCCCCAGTGCCTTCATATGGTCTACCCTCTGTGTGTCTCCACTCATATGACCTCATTTTACCTTAGGCACCTCTAAATACAGTCACATTCTGAGGTACTGGGAGTGAGGACTTTATCCTATGAATTTTGAGAGGACACAATTCAGCCCATAAAGGGCATAGAATGAATTCTATGCAAATCATAATTTTGGGCAACCACTATATTTAAGATGTGAAGCATCTTATATAAATGCTTTAAATAAATTGTATGCTTTTCAAAATCATATGTTAGAAATATTTTTTAGTTTTTTACCTGCTTTGGTTGTGGAGATGAGGATGGAGCAATTAAAGACTTATGGTGGTAATTATGCTAATAATAATAACAGCAGGTAGTATTTATCAAGTGCTATTTTATATGCCAGACTCAGATCTGAACACACTGAAATATTTGAGGGTTTTTGTTGTTTTTTGTTTTATCAGGCACAGGCTTTTAATTTAAAGATGGAAATGTTGAATTATTGAGGTAGCATTATTTGGTGACAAACCAGCTAGGTCAAGAAAGTCCTATAAAGATTTTACACTGTATTCTTCCTTGGCTTCTGTAACTTTGTAGGTGCTCAGCAAATTACTATAGAATGAATGAACAGAATTCAGTTAAAGCAAAAGGGAGAACTACACCCACAGTGGCAGTAGTGCCCTTTTCAGAAGCTCATATTTTCATTGTCAAAATTTATTGTCTTCTTTGTCCTGGCAGGTTTTTATTATTTTTTGCTAACAAATATAGTCAACATTGAATATTAGCTTAATCAGAGACAAAATAAATAGTTGGGGCCCTTATATTTTAGTTTCTCACATGTTTAAGGCTTGGAAATAGAGCAGGTCAGCCTGGGTGTACAGACACACCCCTCCTTGTAAGATTTCGTAAGTAAGAGGTTGCTTTCCAGAGGGTCCACTTTGCCAGTAGGTGGAATTCGTTGGCTCTGTACATTTTTGCCTCAGTCACTCATTATGCTGCTTTAGTGTTCTGCCAGGTGGGGCTATGCTGGGACCTATTGGTCTTGTTAAAAATGTTTCTTTATACTCATATTGCACATGCCCTTAGATAAAACTTTCTGGATATTTGAGAAGTATCAGGAAAAGTCAGAGAAGCAAGTTATCGACATTTACAGTTCTCTTCAGAAAACTCGACATAGCTGTGTACACATTTGTTGTTTGATTAGTGCCAATTTGGGTTACCAGAAAAAGTAATAATGAACAGACTTTGGGAATTAATGCTTATTTTTGAAGAATTCTACTTTTTAATATTCAGAATAGTGTTGTAATTACCTTATTGCTCTGCTGCTGGCTTTTAGATACAGTTTTAACTTCTGATGCTCTTTTTCTTAGTCTAACTTACTGAATGGGTAGAGAATTTTAGATGTACCATGAGAGGGTGAAAATTTTATCCCATATTATGAGAATAGTAATGCCAACTTGTTAACACCGTTCAGATTTTTAAAATAAGAAAATTCCTTAAACTAGAGATAAATAATAAATAATTAGATATTATAATTGTTAAGTATAAACAAATGCTTTTTGGCCTTAGGTCATTTTTCTCATTTGTATCTGACTTTGTGCAGTTTTCAGAGTATTTTTATAATTTAATTTTTAATGATGTTTTGAGTCTCGTGCATTCAAATGTAATTTAATTAATTCAAAACATTTGTTAAATTATTATATATGTCTTTATATAACTGAAACATCCAGTGGTATCCAAAGATAATACAATGGAATACGACTGAGTTGAAATCAGACATATGAACCACACATTTGTATATTTGTGTCTTGATTTAGGTTGGTTGAAGACTTTCGATGAATACTTTAGAGAGATGACTCAGTATATTTTTAATAACATGGTCATCAAGCTGAAAGAAGACTCACGGAGGAAATTTATATGGTCTGAGATCTCTTACCTTTCAAAGTGGTGGGATGCCATAGATATTCAAAAGAAGGATGCTGTTAAAAGGTTTGTTTTTAAACTTTTTTTGAGATTTGGTAATATTAAATATTAGGTGTATAGTGAAACAAGTGTTGAATTTTTAGATGGTGAAAATTCTTAGCTCTATATTTGAAACTTAAAATATATTTTTTCCCTTGATTCTGGTTCATCTCTGAAAAAGTGACTTGAAACTTTACCATTGAAATCCTTATGTTCCAATTTCATCCTGGAAATGGAATTACTAGGTTAAAGGGGCTTGATATTTTAAAGGTTTTTTGAAGCATATAATCAAAGGGACCCCCAGAAAGGCTGTATCAGTGTATTCTTTGTTCTTCAATCTTTTGTATCGTACTGTACCAATTTCTCTGCCTGTTTGCCAATAATATATTTTTTTTCTCTAAAACCTTGACTGATTTGATGGTTGAAAATATAATTTTAATTTGCATTTTTTATGAGTGATAATGTTGCATATTATATATAGGCAAAGCATTATAAATTGCTTGATCATGTAATTTTTCTTACTAATTTGTAATTATGTTCAAACACATACATATACACACATACACATATCAACCCTTATTTATCCTCAAGTGTTTCTTTTCTTAATTCTTATTGCTTTTCACATTTTTATGTAGTCAAATTGATTAATCTGTTTTCTTGATATTTACTTTGCCTGTCATATTTTAAAAGGTATTCTCTCATCCAGAGATCAGATAAATAGTCCTCTTTTCCCTAGTTTTATTTTTTACCATTCCCTTTTTAAAATCTTGAAGTTTGTTTTCTTTTTTAAAAATTATTTAATTAATTTATTTTTGTTACAGAGGTTTCTCCTTTTTCCCCCATTGACACCCTCCTCCTGTTCCGGCCCCCATCCTTCAGCATTGTTGTCTATGTCCATTGGTTATGCTTATATGCATAAGTTCTTTGGTTTATCTCTTCCCGTTCCCCCACTTCCTCCTCTGATGTTTATTTTCTTAATGTGGTATGATGGGAGGTTCTGTTCACCATATCCCTCTCCCCTCTGCTTCCTGGAGTTTAAGGATTATTTGAGCATGTTGTATTGCTTTCTCTTACATATTTTCTGTCACATATATAGCACTTACTGTATTAGTCCCTGTTCTAAGTACTTTACAAATGGTAATTGATAGTCCTCACAACAGTTCTGCGAAGTAGGTACAATGGCTGTCTACATTTTATAGATAAGGGTACTCACTGGTCTTCCAGGGTCACCTGCTGGGATGTGCTGCACTGGTCTATTCAATCCAACGTGTCCAGCACTATAGGCTGTTCCCGTCCATGCTGTGCTGCCTCCCGAAGATTTAAATAGCCCATCCTTTTTACTGATTTGAAGTGCCATCTTTATTGTATTTAGATATGCAGTGATTTCTGGAATTTCAGATCTCTTTTGTAGACTTTTCTGTTTGACTATAATTGTTGCAGCTTTATGATATGTCTCATTAACTGACAGTTTAAATCTCTCCTTATCTCTCTTTATTGAAAAATTATTTTAATGAGTGACCACTTAATTTTCCCCAAGAGCTTTAGAATTAATCTGGTACATTCTTCCTATCCTATTAGAAAAAGGATTTTGATGGAAATTGACATAAACATTTAAAGGTAATTTGGGAAGAACTGGTTATCCATCATTAGCCATTAGAGCTTTTTTTCTTTTTTACCTGATAGCACACTTAAAATGCTTATATGGTTGGCCAGGAAGGTGCCATAACTGAAGGCTATGGGCTTTGTGGGTGTTGGGATGAACCAAGAGTAACTGCTCCACCCAAGAGGGCTGGCCACTCTTCACTTCAGCCATATCATATCAGCCACGGGAACCAGTTATTCAAGGCAAGCTGGAATTCCAAAATCTTATGTAAAATATCTTGAATTTTTAAATGGAAATGTTAGCAGCAATTTAGATTCTCTCTCTCTCTCTCTCTCTCTCGCACATACACACACACACACACACACACACACACTCAGGACACTCATACACTTACACACTCACACACAAACAAACAGAATCCTTAGTTTAAATTGAGCTACCTAGTCATTTGCAAACTTTTATATTAAGAACTGTTCTATAAACTCTATGGAAACTGATGTTTGTTTTATAGGTAATTCTTTGACTGAGTTTTAAGATTAAAAAATTTTTTTATCTGTCTAGGTCTTACATTACTCTTTAAGTACATATAATACTTCATATTTTCTTAAATTAGAATTTTATAGAGATGTTACTCAAAGTGTTTAGATTGTAAGATTTTATCCCATGCGTAGTTTTAGAAAATTACTTTCGGGAAGCTGAATTTTTCTTCATCTTGATTAGATTGGCTAAAGCGTTCACTTTTTTTTTGTACCCCCTCTCACCCTAAAAAACTGTATGTTACTGATTTTTACTCTTGACTTTTCTGTTTTTATCTTTTACTAATTCTTTCTACCCACTTTTACTAATGCTAAATGGGCCAATTCATCTATTTTAATAAGCAGTATGTCTCTGTATTTGCCTTTTAGCACTGCACTGACTACCTTTTACATTTTTATGTTATTTTTTATTATTGTTATATAACTGTATTTATTATTTTTTTCCTTGATTTGACTGTGTTAAGAGAATAATTTTTAGTTTTCAAGTGCAATTTTCCCCCCAGTAATACTTTAGATTTGAAAACTAGTTTTCATGTTTTATAGTCAGGGAGTATGGACTGTACAATTTTATTTTCATTGTTTCGATTTGCCTGATCTGTGCTCTCCTTTTTTAATCCTTACCTGAGGATATTTTTCCATTGATTTTTTAGAGAGAGTGGAAGGGAAAGAGGGGGAGAGAGAGAGAGAGAGAGAGAGAGAGAGAGAGAGAGAGAGAGACATCGATGCAAGAGAGACATCAGTTGGTTACCTTCTGCATGGGCTGGGGATCAGACCTGCAACCTAGGTACATGCTCTTGACCACAGTCGAACCTGAGACCCTTCAGTCCATGGGTGGACACTCTAACCACTGAGCCAAACTGGCCAGGCTGTGCTGCTCTTTTTACTTGAAGGACAATCTAGAGTGGTAGTTCAAATAGCTGGGCACTGGAGCCAGGCTGCATAGGTTTAGATCCCGGGAAACTCCCATCTACTGTATGACTTTGGGGAAATTAACCTCTCTGTGCCTCATTTCCTTTATTTGTCAAGTGAGGGTAATATTGGAACATATTTTATTTGTATTCAAATACAAATGAATGAATACAAATGAGCATTTTAAGTTGTTAATAAACATCAGCAGCTCCTGTTACTTTAACTTTTATTTGCCATTTTGGACACCAAATATTGTTTTTAGTTCTGAAGTCATCCTGAAAGTCTTCATCTTTTAATAGCAAAATTTAGCTATAGATTTTATATTTTCTACCTTAAAAAAGGTTTCCTTATATACTGTTTCAGTGAAGATCACCTTTTCCCCCTGTTTCTACTCAGATGTTTTTAGGATTTTTAAAATTTTATCCATAAAATTCTAAATTTTTACCACATATGTAGACATAAATAACTTATTAAGTGTTCCATCTACCAGTTCAAACATTTTCCAGCTTATGTTTTCTGCTCTTACAAATTAATTACTGTTTTTATTCATTTATTTTAGAATTCACTTATTGAGTATTGAGTATTCAGTTATTGAGTATTGAGTCTCTTCTTTGCATATGTGTATATTTTTAATTTGTTATATTCACTGCTTTTGGGAGGTTTTTTCTGTCTGTTTTTTTCCCCTCAGATTCAGTTCTCTGTGGTATGGAGCCTGCTCTTTTCTGGCTTTAAATGCTTGGTTTATAACTGTGTTTTTTATTACCCTTTAGTTCTGTGTTCTTTTTATTGTTGTATTTAAGTTCAAGTATATTCCCCCTTTTTATTCATCCTTGAGTTATAACAGATGTGTCCACACTTGGAATTTGTTCCAAAACAGAGAGTGTAACTGTCCTGAAATCCCTTCCTTTTCTAATGAGATACTTTGTTTCCTTGCCATGAGTATTAGTACTGGCTGGCCAACATCTATTTCACCCGATTTCCTTTTGGGAAATGGTCTCTCACTGAAATCTGGGCCTCCATCTTCCTGCCCCAGGCCAGAAAGGCCAGCTATAACCTGAGTTCAGTTAATCAATACATTATTTTTCCAGGGTTTTAATCTTTAGAGAGTGAAGACAGGATGGACAGATGGAAAGAAGGGAAACAGACATGGAGGGGAGGTTGCAGGTCATCTCTCACAGCACCAGTGCTTTTGTTAAGACTCTTCCTGTCCCATAGCATGGTCCCTGAGGTCCCCGTAGCACATGGCCTCTTGTTTTCTTCCAGCCCTTTGTTAAGCCTGGCCTTTTAGCCGGCCCTCAGTGCTCCGTGTCCAGGACAGTCTCCCATACCTTCCCCCTCCAGCACCAGCTAGTGTTGCTTGCAAACTAGAAACCTACCCGATTGATTATTCCTCAGATCCTTTGCTGGAGAGCTGGGTTCTGGAAGATGAGTGTTAGGGACCCAGCAGCCAGGAAAGATTCCCAGGTTATGACTAGGGCTGGCCGAGGGGAAGAGAGGAACTGGGCTGTGGGAAGATCGGGAGACCCATGAAGTGTCTGCTGTCTGTCCAGTGAGACACTTTTGGCTAGCTTTCTGCATCTAGCTTCCTTTCATGTGGCCTGTAAGCCAGGGAGGAGCTGCGGCCTGTCTGAAGGTGCTGCCTCTCTGACTGTAGGAAAGAGTCCACCACCTGAGAAGGAAACGGCTTGCTGCTTACTGCTTTCAGTAATGTGAGGCCATGCCTGGCTCTCCCAGTGCAGCCCTATTAGGGTGCTGCCTTCTGCCAGCAGTCAGGGCTTGGGGCGGGGCGCACGAAACACCCTGAGGACGAAGGATAGGGACTATGTTTAGTGTCTGTCCCAAGATTCAGCTTTGCTTCGGCCCTTGGCCCTCCAGATTAGGGGTGTTGCCAGAATCCCTGGCTCTTCTCTTTTTACTATTTGGGCTGCATGAGGATTTTTTATGTAGGAGGGTTTAGGCCAGTACTTGCTGAATTCAGT